CAAAATATTTATTGAGTATACAAAGAAAGAACAAAAACATGCTCAAACAGGACAATGCCAATGCAATAAGGTTTCACGATAGATGGAAGAACTTTTTAACTCGCATCAAAATGTCTCATTATTAAAGGTTCATGCTCCTAGGTCAATTGAATTTTGGACCTTGCTTTTCGGTGGCCTACATATCTCAATTATCAGCCTCGAACTTCAAACGGCGCTAACATCACGTCCTTAGCTCTTAATATTTTTTTAAGTACGAATGGGGTAACTTCAATTTACCTCAAACTTCTATCACAAGATTCTCTACGAGTTACTCCCAGGATCTATGATTAATGCACGTTAAGATGCAATGTATGATGTATAAATATTAATGTAAAGATGAAAATATGCACCTACAGATGCAAAAATACATAAATGAGAATGCAAAATGTGCGATGCAAATGCAATATAAGAATTGCTCCCAAAAGTAATTATTCCTTGAAAAATTCTTGAGAAACCGACAATGTCTCGGTACACCGGGGAAGTGAAAATCTAATCCATCTTCAAGTTGTCCAGCTCCTGTGAGTGTTTAGGTATTGCATCGTCTTTAATCAGATTTAGGCATATTTAAAACCTTCAAAGATTCTACTTCGTCTCCTACTATCATAAATTTATGAAGCGGGTTTGTGACTTTTAACTATTGGCTTCAACGTCGAATCTTCTTGAGTCCAACTTATTACCTCAACATGAAGACGTCTGGCTTATCTCCTTAATAGGTAGACTATCTCTTAATGTTACTCGATTTACGAAAAGCATCTTTGAAATTCCATATAACCTAATGAAAGGCATTGTTGTGGGCATTGTTTTCCAAGAACTTTCTAAAAGATCAGTTATTTTAGGGATCAATACCTTTGAACGATATGTTATGCTAATGCAGAAAAATACAACAAAGCACAAAAAGACAAAAGGAAATCATGTTAGTAGAATTTAGACAAAAAGAATCAAGTCAGTTAAAATGATTATTCAAATAAATGTAAAAATAATTAAATATGACTCAAAGTCGAGATTGAAAAAATAAAGCATACAAAGGAAATTAAGAGTCCTAACCGCATGCGTTCTAGTTTTCCTATGTTATCCACATGGCTCTAGCGGGGTAGGTCTACTAAATTCTCTAAATTAGATTTGATTCTAAGAAGGTTCCTAAGCCATCTTTACAACCTGCTAGGATTGACTCTGATTTTGGCCCATTACAGACTTGCGAATCGGGTTCGACTTAGGGGATTACACCTCTAAAAGCGTATCTCGAAACTGATATCCAGATAGGCAACTTAGGATGCTTTCTAGAGGTAATTTGTCAGACCCACACCAAGAATCTCAATGATCCTCATAAGGTGTAACATTTCCCCTAATTAAATAAATTGGGATTGAGCTTGGGTTCAGAACTATGATATACAACAGTCTTAAATATTCGCAGAAGTGTAAGCAATAAATAGAGAGAAATTCTTTTTTTTCATTTTTCTTCTTTGAAATAACACAATGAACTGTAAATTAAATAAGATCAAATTTATAATTTCCAGAATCATAAATATAGTGTAACCAACTTGTGGCTCAACTCTCAAGTTATTTTTTTATAAAAAAATATCCCCAGTGGAGTGGCAAAGCTGTCAACACCGTTTTTCGCCCGGGTGAGGAAAAACATAGTAAGACTTGGGGGTTTTCTTTGAAAAGGTTTTGAAATATGATGAGTCGACACCAATCATTTTAAGGTGCAATTTGGACACCATAAAAATTGGGTGATTTTATTAAAACATTTTATTTTTTTATTAAAATACTAAGTTTTAGGGTATGTGAAAACCAAAAAATAGGTTCGGGAGTCAGTTACGCATGGGGAATGATTAGCACCCCCACAACGTTTAGTTGATTACCCTATATATATTTATAATTAAAAATTTTGAGTTCGAACTTTATCTAATTAAAAATCATTACAGATGCAAAGTTGAAAAGGGTATTTGTTTATTAAAGCCAATAGCATTCGCCCCCTAACATGAATGCGGGAGATAAGTTATTGTACCCAATAACCGAACATTGCCTCGATATTTTAGAAATCATGATGCAGTCTTGAAAAGGATGTCGACTAGGGATGGCAAACGGGCAGGTCAGGTGCGGATACCCCCTCCCCCATCCCCATACCCACCTAATATTTTTCAATCCACCACCCGCCCACCACCCATGATGGGTACAAATTTTCAAATCCACACCCGCCCACGCGGGTATATTTTCAAATCCATCCCCACTCCCACTAGCCACTAGCGACATACCCATCTAGACCCACCTGATAGCAAACAAATGGGATGTTGGAGTTGGTTCCCAAACAGTTCGTGATGGGGTAGCAGCGCATGCTTCAATTTGTCAGAGGAGTAGCTCTACGAATGTTATGGAGACAGATTGTAGGGAGCATGTAGTCGCAGAGCTGGATTGTTGTGTTGCTTTCGATGTTAATGCTCATAGTGCACCTAATATGGGTTTTGAGGGACTAAAGAACATGGAAACTGCTGCTTTTGATGTTAATGCTTATTGTACGACTAATTTGTGTTTGGATGGGCAGCATGGGCTAAAGAACATGGAAAGTGACGTGGTTAGTGGGATTATGGGTTTAATCAAAGATCCGAATATTTCCCTAATTAAAGACCAGATTAAAGACTAAATATCCTTAATATTTGGATAAATTATATGTCATATATTATACAATATTAAAATTTATAAATTAGTCTCTAAAATTACACCTAAATTTATAATGGTCCAAAATTTAATAGATATTTAGCTGGGTGGACGGATGTGGGGCGGGCGGATGCGGGGCGGGCAGATGTAGGGCGGGTGGATGCAGGGCGGGTAATGTCTCAAACCCATTACCCGCCCACCACCCACGACGGGTACCACTTTATAAATCCACACCCGCCCACTACCCGCTAAATTATACCCATCCCCGCTCCAATTGGAGCGGATGCGGTGCGAAATCGACGAAACTGTACCCGTTTGCCATCCCTAATGTCGACCTATTTCAGGAATCACCAGTAATCACCCCTGAGCATACTTGCGGGAGATATACTATTAATCCCCTAATAAGTGAACATTACCTTAGGTTTTTAAAGATGATGCAATCAAACAATTTATTATTAATCCTAATTAAAATAAAGATAGATTAAGGCTTCCTCTATCTTAGAGTGTCAAATTATGAAAATTAAAGAACCTAGAGGTATAAACCTAAAAATGTAGGCTCTAATATTAATCCTACTTGATTTTAACCAGTTATTGAATCGAATAATATATATAGTCCCTTGAGCATTTAGGTGAGGGCGAACTCATATTACTCCCAAAATTAAAGGGACTAAATCAAAATTTAATCTAAAGTGGAGGGTCTAATTATCCAAATGGATTATGTTAAAGGAGTATCTAAATAAAACGGACAAAGGACTAAAAAGTGAGAAACCAAGATTAAGGCTCTACTTATTGACCCTAATCATTTATCATTCTTTATTGAATAGAATAATCGAAATGCGTCCTCGGGTATCTAAATGCGAGAACTAAAATCGAATCGTTTCATAAATTAGAGGACTAAAGAAATTAAACCTAAAGTGAAGGCTCTAATATTAACTTAAATTAATTTTAATCAATATTACAATTCGAATAATTAAAGTGGAACATCGAGCAAAAGCGATAACCAAATTAAGAATTCACCTAATTTAAGGACTAAATTAAGAATGTAATTAATCTAGATTAGGACTGAAATATTAAAAATCTAAATCAAAAGTTTTAATTTAAAACCTAAAATTCTAGGACTAATTTAAAGAAATTTAATTTGAAGACCAAAAATTAAAAAAAAACAATTAACACATATAAAAGGATAAAATTGGAACAATGTAAAAATGTAGAACTAAAAATTAAACATTAAATAAAGGACTAAATGAGAGAAATAAGAACATAAAGTTTAAATTAAAAAATTACAGAAAATTAAAAAGTTGGAATTTAAAGGACTGAAATGTAAATGCTAAAAAGTAAATACATAAATTAAAATAATATAAATTTAAAGGTAAAATTATAAATATCAAAAAATAAATTAATCAAATAAAAAAGGTTAGGGTTAATTTAATTGTTACCCAAAACATAAATAATATGAGTCATACCCCAAGGCGGGTCGTCACAAGGTCATATTAAGGTTTAATATTCGAATTAAACGATAAGGGACCAAAATGCAATAAAATAAAATAAAAAAGTAGCCAAATCAGAAATAAAAAAGTGACTAAAATGCATAAATTGGAACTATCATATCCAAATCATAAATAAGATAAGAAGCAGAGTCCAAACAGTGGCTAAAATGAAAAAATATAAAATTCAACAGTTAATTTCAGAGAAATAACATAACAACATAGTTACTAAATTTAAAAGAAATAAAACAGTGCCAAAATCAAAATAAAATAAATTCGGTGACTAAAGTGTAAAAAACACGCAAAAGGTTCAGGGGCACGAGAGCAGATATACCAACCATTCATGACATGAGTAAAAAGGGTAACTAAAGAAATTGGTGCAATTAGAAAAGGTAAAGTATTATTTTTGGTCCTCACAGGTGGTCAAAACGCAAAAACATGATAGCTTTAAGGGGATATAAAATAAATTTTCCTAGTTGTTCTAAGCTAACAAAAAGATGGAAAATCATGCAAACAATGCTCATAAATTCGAATTTAAAAACAAAATAAAGGCAAGCAGGGACCAATCCGTAAAAATGTGTTAAATTATTGATGACCTATGTGTAATTTTCTTTTTTATCAACCTAAAATATACTAACAATCATAATAGGTAAAATCACACAATTAGGCCATAAAGATTAAAATAATCGCGAAAAAGTCATAGCAGGTGACTAAAATGCAAATACGCTACAAGAGTATAGGGACTTAAGGCTAATTTACCCCTAAACCTCTACTTTATAAACCCCTTTTTGTTTTGGATTCATTTTGTAACCCTAGCCTCCAAAAAAACCTTCCATTTCTCTCAACCCTCCCCCAACCGAGACTCACCAAACATGTTCTCGTTCACCACTTGATCATCGCCAACCGCCGCACCTCGCGATCGCTAGTGGCTGTCAAGGCCCAAAACACACCGTTCGACTCATCTCGACACTGTGATTACATATCAGGGCTCGATTTTTACTTGATTCAACGCTTAGCTCCACGAAAGGACCTCGAAACTCCTCGACTCCCTCGAACTCCGACGACGCTAAAATCCTAATAACCTTACCACTCTCCGATCTACCCCCAACACCTAGATCGAAGCCTGAAAAGAACATATAAAACCTCCCCGAAGCGAAACCCGACTCCGTACCATCTTCGGACTCCGGCAACCCCCACGCTCTTGGTTTTCTCCTCCCTCTCCGGTGAGACCTCGAATAGTCATGGATTGAGACCAATGAGACCACACAGTGAGTCACACTCGGTAAGAAACTCAAAACCCTCCCCACTTTTCTTATTCGAATGGATAAAAAACGTTGATAAAAAAGATCCCTATTGCTCCGTGTTGCTGAAAAATGAGAAAATATCTTGCATTTCGAATTAAAATTTGTTGCTCTGAAAATGTATTTTTTGTATTGCTTTGCTCGAAAGAACAAATAGGGTCTAATTCCCTTTTTACAAATGTTTTGTTTTTATTTTTGGTTTTTCGAATGGGGAGAGACCTCCCTTTACAAATGATTTTCGAGGTTTAAATAAACAATTCCCGGGTTACAATCGTACGTTGAAAAATCTGATTTTTTTTTTTACAATTTTCTTTGATTGTGTGTGTGATTTTGCTAATAAAGACGAGCATTTAGAGACCACTGTTTTATCGGTTGGAGTAGAATGCTCGGACAAAGAGGGACCAGTGCTTGAGCCACTCACATGTAACGGATGAGACGTGGAAGAGAAGAAGTATACCGGCGTGTTTGGTGCTGATACAGGAAACAGTGACAGTAACAGGACAGTGGTGGCAGCAGTGGAGATGGCAGGGATAGCAAGCAATTCCACAGTCGGGGCACAGGATATTAAGGGATTTTATTTCTCTTTTGCATTTTTTTAATAATATACAGATATAATATATGTAGGGTGAAAATTAGTGATTACATGTTGGAAACCGCACTGCATATAACGATAATTTTTTACCTTAAAGCGAATGCCTTCATCCTTAATCACCTTACGAACATAGATGGAAGAAGCGAAAAATCATTGATGTAAAAGAATGGGAATGAAATTACTTTTTTTCTCTCTCTCTCTCTTCTACTAGAACTCACGACAGCTTTCAATATATTTAGGCTTAATATATATTTTTATTCAAAAAGGGGTGAATTGCTCATTTAGTCCCTTATTTTATTCATCTCTTCTCAATATTCCCTTAAGCTTACTAATTTACTTAGTATTTATTATTTATTCGATTTGGTTTAATCCTAATATCTCAAGGTTTTCATTAAAAGTAAAATATAAAATAATTTTAACTACTTAAATTTATTTATATTTTATTAAATTAATCTCTTTATATATTATTATGTTTATAATTTTGATTAAAACACGAAAAATGAGAATTGAGAAAGATTCATAAAAAAATAATTCATTAATCTAAGGGTATTATTGTCTAAAGTGGAAGCATTATACAATATCTAAAAGTTTGGAGGTAATGACATTCTCACTATTCTTGCCAAAAATTATTGTTATTGCTAATAAGTTATTACATGATAATGATTTTTTTCATGAATTAAACATGATAATATAATTTCGAAGAAGATTATTCCCTTTAGTAATTATTTTTTTTTGGCGAACCATACTCCCTTTGATAATGATTTGTAATGTTGGGCTAAACCCAATATTTCGTTGAGAATTGATTCAAATTCACAGTGATAAACATTTGGGGCAAGTCTACATGAATTGTCCAAATGTCTCATACAATTAATATGAACAGGTTTTTGCTAGGATGTAAATGAGACAAGATAGATCGTGAGTTATTTAAGATCGGTTCGGTCAAAGTTTTATAAATACACAACTCGAATGGACTCGATTCGAGCTCGACTCGAGTTCTTAACGAGTCAAAATGAGATATTTGATACATGACTCGAAAAGCTCACGAGTAACTCAAAAACATAATTATTAAGATTTTATTTTATTTTAAAAATAAATTATTAATAATATTAATATTTATGTGTTGATTTTTTAAAATGCAATATAATATTTTCATGTAGTTAAGACTCAAGTTCGCATTTGAGTTTGAGACTTCAATCTAGTTAAATTTATGATTTTTTTTCATTTTGAGATTTCTGAAGCTTCAATTCATGGTTTCGAATTCAAATCGAGCTTGAAAGTTTTAACCTCTTAAGTTTTAGAGTCGAGTTGAACTCAACACTACTCGACCTCGACTCGGCTTGTTTATAGCCCCAGTTGCTGCTACACTAGAACACGAAAGCCATAGCCGCAGTCGCAACACCTCTGATGAAAATTCACCTTGTAAAATATGGTAGGGAACCTCATCGTCAGCATGAAAACTTTGATTCGGGAGCAATAATTCATTAATCATCATCGAGTTAGATTTCGCATAATTTTCTTCTATTGATCAGATTAGTGTTTATCTATAGATTTGATGAGAATTTAATTTTACTTATGATCGGACGCTAATGTTAGGGAATGAATTTTAAAAATTTTTAAAAATTTATAAAATTTTTAAAAAACGAAAATATTTTTTAATAAAAAATATATAAAAAAAATTAAATTTATAATAATTTTAAAATTCAAGAGCGATTGTCCGACTCGTGCCGTCCTTCCCTGCTTATGGTGAAAGTTAAACTCATGTCTTAAGACACATACGACCATTTTTGGAGCAGCATGAAATTTGGCGAATCCAAAAGCTATTGATATATAAATAATATACATAATTTATTAAATATTTAAAAAATTCGATTAATACTATTAACTAACTGATTTCGAATAGATTAACCTAATACCGAACTTTAAAAAAATATTAACCGTTAATCGATCGAACCTAAAAATTAACGATCGATTAATCGAAAAATTCAGTTCGATCAGTTTAATCAGTTAACCAAAATTTTGAACAATCCTAATAATAAATAAAGGATAATAGATAAAAATTCAGATTTAAATAATATATAGAGGATATTTTTCTATGAGAGACCTAGAGGAAATCCAATCCTTCTTCAAGGCATCTATATAATTCTCAACTCTTAATCGCTCATAAATTCCTTTTCCACCCAAATTCTCACCAAATTCTCACCAAATTCCATTAATTTCAATGAAGTGAACGGCAGTTTTTGCAATCATCATATATCACACCTACCATGTAGGTGCAAATTGTCTTTTTAAAAATAAATATAACTTAAAAACAAAGTAATATTTAAAAGGGAAATTATCTAAAATACAATGTGTAAATTTTAGTTTATATATGTTTTTCTAAGTTAGTGTCATGGGTTATATTTAGGGTTTAGAATTTTTAATGTCAGAATTTAAGATTTAATTTAAGCTTTTAAGATGCACGAATCAAATTACTTAAATGATTAAAGGTTTATAATTTGAAGTTTAAGATTTATATTTTAATATTTAAGATTAAAATAGATAAACTCAATAAAATAAAATTTACTACATAATTTATGTATCAAATAATAACTTATATTTAAAACTACAAGAATAATTGTTAAAAACTAAAAGACAAACACATTCACTATATTTAATTAATATTATCTTTTATTAATCTAGAATGATTACAAGTGATAATATTTATTTTAGAGACCGTCAGTCATTTGACAATGAATACTCAAATACTCTATAATCGCTAGTGCTCAAACTCAAGACCTCTAGAATAAAATTCATCCCTTTAATAATTGAGAAAACTTAGTTCGTACAATTAATATTATTTTAATTTAGCCTTCAAGTAATTTCACTTTATTTAAATTGATGTGTACTTTAAGTTGAATAAAAATAAGGAAAATTCTACAATACTCAACAAGCACAACTGAGCATCACACACAATGAGCACCACAAACAATGAGCACCGATAAACACCATTAATTTAATTTATAAAAATTTAAAATTCTAAAAGACTCAACGTATAATTATAAATTAATTAAAAATCTAAAGGTAAATTATTTAAACAAGGAAAATATTTAGGGTTTTTAATTTAAGGGTTGATATTTGATCCAATTATTGTTACAAAAATTATGGAAAATAACGTAATTAATATTTTATTTTAAATGATTTACCTTTAAATTTTTAACTAATTTATAATTATACATTGGGTCCTTTAGAATTTTAAATTTTTATAAATTAAATTAATTACGCTCAATAGTGCTCGTAAAGAGTGACATTCCTGGGCAGAAAAAAAACAAAAAGAACAGAGATATTTTTATAAAAGGTGCCAGCTGTCCATGTTCACACATGATTCCCTCTATCAACTGCCCTTGTGAGCCCCACTACCAGTCATGCCTACCCCTTCACATGAAGGGAATGATACCTAGAGTACAAAGGGAATTTGAGGACAAAACCCTAGGGATTCCCTTGGTATAAATAGATAAGGATGCCCTACGTTTTAAGGGAGTTTTTGGGAAGAATGAGATAAGAAAGAGAGAGGAAAAGACAGTTGCAACACTTTTTCATTTTCTTTCTCTTTTGGTGGTGTCCTCTATAGCCAAGCTTGAAGGGGATATCAAGCTAGACCTTTGAGATAATCTAGCTTTGCTAAGGTGGTTCACAGTGGTTGAAAGCTCACATCAGCTCACTTGGGAGTTCTTTTCTCCGAAAGTAGATGGATGCCTCCCTACGCATATCCTGCATATTGTATATCTCATATTGCGTCGAATGCTATGAAGAGGTTTAAGCAGAAAAAGATAAAAAAAAGAGATTATCAACATGAGTAAGTATTATATAATTTCTCAATTATTTTTGCTTCATTTTTGTCTTCGTCGTCTTCTTCTCAATTTCTATACTAAAATTTTTAATTTTTCCCTCTCAACAAGTCGTTTGCTACGTCGCTTCGGTAAATCTTCATACTTCTTCTTCTTCTCCTCTTTCATTTTCATTTTCTTCTTCTTATGCTCCTCAACTATGTACTTTATTACCTCATTTTCCCACTCTTCATCTGAAGAAGAGCTTGAATGTGAAGTGGAGCAATGATGTTACGGCACACCATGTCTCAGCTCCTTGAAAGAAAAATGTGTTGAATTAAACAATTAATATTACAATTTTCAAAGTTAATGCACAAATTATTAATATTTACCGAATGTCTACCGGCGATATTAATTCACATCCGGATATCTACTTTGGTTGCACCCGACAACTTTGTATCGATTATTAGAAGTCACCATCTAAAAATATACATTATTTATTGTCATTTTCAAAATATTTAAATAAATATTATAAAATATCAAAACTTTAAATATATAAATTTATCTTGTGGCGAGAGGAAACTCCATAGGAGCGGATGTAATAGGCGTAAAAAATGGGAGACGATACCATGCCCATGATTGGGGCAAAACTAAACAACCCGCTACATTTTCTTTTTGTCCTCTAACCACTATGGTCGCCTTGCAAAGTTCACGAAACAAAAAGTCAAAATTGTAGAACTCCAACTATATTAGCGACATACAGCAAAATCCTTCAATACTGGAAGATATTGGGTGTGCACCAAATTACCCGATTTATCTGGTAACAAGATCCGTCTAATCAGCGTCATAAGATATCCTCGAGCTGTATATATCACCTCTTGCTCCGTTGATTGTCCATTTACTCTAAATTCTCTTTCCAACCATGTAATCCGTATCTACATCCCATCAATGACATCGGCTGGAGCCTCATTTCCTAATAAATCAGAAATAACTTCATCTCGTGTATAATTGATGCAAAGCACCCATGGCATACCATTAATCAGAATGTCAAGTTGATACGTGACATCTTCTAGTGTTATCATCACTTCAACACAAGGAAAATAAAACATATACGTTTCGAACCTCCAACGCTCAATTAATGCCGATATCAGTGCATCACCTTAGAACCACGAAGAAACGTCGCTTCATATAATCCGAATTGTTGAAGATATATCACAATCCGCTGATGTGACTCTTCATTCTTCATTCCTCGATGACGAATGCCTCGTTCTTCTCGCTACAATTTGAAAATAAATTATTTAATACAATTATATAAATAATTATTATTGATACTATAATTTTGTCAAAACTAAACTAAAATAAAACAAATTAAATTTACCGTAATCAA